CTTCCAACCACTGGACGAGAAATACGTCTCTGGTAGGGGTTTTGGGCCTTCTGTAAGAAGTGGGCCTAGGAGAGTAGTCTTGTCAAATAAACCATCACAACTGATGTTCGATTCAGAGGGTGTGAGCCCAGGTCCACGTAATTCACAAGAAATAGATTCTGGGAGCAGGGCTGAAAGGGGAGCTGGAAAAGATGCTTCGACAAAGAGTCAGAATGTCCCGCAATCTGGAGAGGGAAATCTTAAAAGAAATATTCATTCTGAAGAAGATGTTTATGCTCCCCTGCAAAGTGGTTTTGTGCGTGTCTTTGAGCAACCTGGCATAGAGGCTCCTAGTGATGAAGACGATTTCATTGAAGTGAGGTCAAAGAGGCAAATGCTGAATGATCGGCGGGAACAGAGAGAAAAGGAAATCAAGGCAAAGTCTCGGGCTTCAAAGGTTGGAATGCTTGTAGTTTCATTTTGTATTTTGCCTTGCATTGATTTAAATAGTATTGCTTAATTGCTTTTATGTATTCATGTTATCAGGTTCCAAGAAAACCTCGCTCTACTTCAAAAAGTAGTAGTGCCTCTGCTAACTCAGGTAAAAATTATGCACTGGCAAATGGAGAAGGAAACTGCAGTCACTCTGATTTCGTTGCCTCGGAGGGACGTGGATTGAATATGGAAGTATCAGCTGGTTTTAACACTAATGTGGTGTCTCAACTGTTGGCTCCAATTGGCACTCCTGCCGTTAAAAGTGATCCCCAAGCTGATATTAGATCCCACACAATCGGGTATTTGTTCGTTTGAAAAACCATTTAAAGCCAGTAACTTAATACATAGATTCCTAATCATCTTTTTATCAACAGGTCACTGAACACAAGCTCCCTTCCCGTAGTATCAGGTAGTGTGAAAAATCTTGGGCGCGGCTCAATTGTTGACGACAAAAGTAAGGTCCTGGAGAATGTTCAAGCATCTTTGGGCTCATGGGGTAATTCACGGATCAATCAACAGGTGTGCAAACCAATTATGTTCTAGATCTTGGCCTTTTGTTTATCATAGGTTTTTCATTTTGGTTCTGAATAGATTTGGTAAGGTTACTGTTTTATTCTTTGTTTCTTCACCATTTGTTTTCATGACTCATATTGGGTGCTTTTATTTGCACCCAAGCATATTTTTGTTTGTTCTGGTTGTGAAACTTCACTATTCTCGTTCTACTTATGGTTTAATTTACCTCATGTGTTCCATTATTGCACCTTTTTTGACACGCAAGCGTATATACGCTTGATTGTACTGATGAAGCAACATAATACGACATAATTCTTTCTTCCAAACCCCCCCCCCCCCCCCCCCCCCCCCCCCCTCTTCTCTTCCTCTGTATGCTGCCTAACTGATTGACTTCATCCAGCAGGTTATGTCATTGACACAGACCCAACTTGATGAGGCTATGAAGCCTGGGCAATTTGTGTCTCATGGTTCTGTTGGAAAAATTACTAGCTCAGTTTGTGAATCCAGCATGCCATCTTCATCACTGTTGACAAAGGATAACCCATTTTCTTCTGCTGCAAATCCAATAAATTCTCTGCTTGCTGGCGAGAAAATCCAATTTGGTGAGCATGCTAAAAACCTCGAGAGTTTGCTAAAAGTTGCATTTGTCATTTTTCTGATGATTTTATTTTCCTATATTCAGGTGCAGTCACGTCTCCAACAATACTTCCTCCTAGCAGCCGCTCTATTTCACATGGAATTGGTCCACCAGGGCCATCTCGGTCAGACATGCAACTCTCCCACAATCTTTCTGCTGCTGAAAATGATTGTGGCCTTCTCTTTGAGAAAGAGAAACACACTGCTGAGTCTTGTGTTTATTTGGAAGATTGTGAATCAGAAGCTGAAGCAGCTGCTTCAGCTGTTGCTGTTGCAGCCATCAGCAGTGACGAAATTGCTGGGAATGGTTTGGTTGCTTGCTCTGGTTCGGTTGCAGATACCAAGACTTTTGGATCTGCTGATGTTGATGGGATAACAGCAGGTGAATACTTTTGTTTTTTTTTTGGTGTAGTGGCGAACTTTCCTATTCTCCTATAATGTTTATTATCTTATTAGAATGATTTTTAATCTCTGGTAGCTGGAGCCGGTGATAAGAAATTAGCCAGTCAATCAAGGACTAAACAGTCTCCAAGTGTTTCCCTTCCAGCAGATCTATCTGTGGAGACCCCAGCAATCTCATTAATGCCACATTTACCAGGTCAGAATAATTTCTTTATAACCAATTTTGTTTTGGCCGCCCTTCCCAATAATGTTCAAGGTGCTGATATAGACGGGATAACAGCAGGTGAATGGATTTTTTGTTTTAGCAGTGAGTGTTGCCTTTTCTTTTGATGATTCTTCTAATATTAGAGTTTTTAATCTTTCGTAGGTGGAGCTGGTGATCGACAATTTGCCAGTCAATCAAGGGCTGAAGAGGCCCTTAGTGTTTCACTACCAGCAGATCTATCTGTTGAGACCACGCCAATTTCGATGTGGCCACCCTTACCAAGACCTCCAAATTCTTCAGGCCCAATGCTTCCACATTTTCCTGCTGGCCCACCTTCCCATTTTCCCTTTTATGAGATGAATCCCATGATGGGGGGTCCTGTTTTTGCTTTTGGACCGCATGACGAATCTGCATCTACCACCCAAGCACAATCCCAAAAGACTAGTGCGCCAGTTTCAGCACCACTTGGGACGTGGCAGCAATGCCATTCCGGAGTAGATTCATTCTATGGCCCTCCTGCAGGTTTTACTGGTCCTTTTATCGGTCCAGCGGGAGGTATACCAGGTGTTCAAGGCCCTCCACACATGGTTGTTTATAACCATTTTGCACCTGTTGGACAATTTGGACAAGTTGGCTTGAGTTTCATGGGTACTGCTTATATCCCATCAGGAAAGCAGCCTGATTGGAAGCACAACCCTGCATCTTCCACCATGGGGGAGATGAACAATATAAATATGGTTTCTGCACAGCGCAACCCTACCAATATGCCTGCTCCGATCCAGCATTTGGCCCCTGGGTCACCGCTCCTTCCCATGGCTTCACCTTTGGCCATGTTCGATGTTTCTCCTTTCCAGGTAATATTTCAGCCTGTTGACCTAATATATCCCCTTCTGCTTAGTAGTTTTAGGTTTTGCAACATAGTGCGCTTTGGGGAATAGTTCTCTCTGAAGAGAGTGGGAAGTGGAATGCTTTGAGTAGTAGATTTGGTTCCTTTCAGAATTTGTTAAGGATACATGAATCTATAGCGGGTGCAGGATGATAAATATGTTAAAATTTTAATGTATTCCTATTTGGTGGCGAATAGTTACCATACTCTTTTTTTTTCTGGAATAACAACTAACGAGTTTGTAAAAATTGTTGTCCCCAGCCTTCTCCTGATATGTCAGCTCAAGCACGGTGGCCCCATGTTCCTGCATCATCTCTTCAGTCTGTTCCTCTATCGATGCCAATGCAGCAACAGACAGACGTTATACTTCCTTCTAAATTTAGCCGTGGTCCTTCTGACCAAACGTTGCCGGCCAACATGTTCCCTGAGTCCCGGACTTCTACATCCTTTGATAGCAGTTGTAATTTTCCTGTGGTTACTGAAGCCACTTCCACCCGATTTCCAGATGAACTGGGTTTAGCAGACCCTACAAGCTCCAGCAGCACTGGGGCTTCAACACAGAATGTTGTCACTAAGAGCTCATCTGTGAGTAGCACGGTAGATAATGCCAAGACTGATGTTGATCAGAATCTTGGTACGAGTGCTAGTGGACATAACGCTAGTAACACCAACTCTCAGTCTTCTATGCACAAGAGTAATATCCCAAACCAGCACTATGGCCATTCGTCTTACCATCAGAGAGGTAATGCTTCGCAGAAAAATAGCTCTGGGGGCGAATGGTCCCACCGACGAATGGGTTACCAAGGAAGGAATCAGTCTCTGGGTGCGGAGAAAAACTTTCCAGGTACTAAGATGAAGCAAATATACGTGGCTAAACAGACCTCAATTGGGAGTTCAACAGCGTCATGAGGAGCCACATAAAATGAGCTGCCGCCTGTTGGGTTCGAGAAAAAGAATGCACGTTGAAGCGGTTGTTCAGGAATAAAAGATTTTTGGTTGTTTTTTTCGCAGCTGCTATTGCACCGGTAGGTGCAGTGTCTAGCATTGAGATTGAGATTGAGATTTTGTTGAGAGATATATAGGTGATAGGGTATGCTGGTTTTCCCGACGAAGGTTTGCAGAAACGGGCAGCAGGTGATATGATAGGAAACTATGGACCTGCCTGGTGCTCCATTAGGGAGAAAAAGGGGATGATATTGAAGTACTGGTTCTTGTTGACAAGGGAACTTTGTGATATTATTTTCATCTGTGGTCCGTCGATCGGGTTTCGATGTTTGAAATCTTTGTTGGCTGCAAACCGAACTGTCAATTTATTGAAGAATTTGATGTACTAAAAAACAAATACCGTCATAATCCAGGTAACATTCTTTTTGCAATTTCTGGTAAATGGTAAATGTGGCAGTCGAGGGATGCTTGTTTCCCCCTTCTTTTTGACCTCACTTGATCTGTATTTGTATGTAATTTAAATTGTGATAACTGCGGTTGAGTTTGGAGTAGGCGTTGTTTATATTTTCGCCCTTGGGAATGAGTTTAACGTGAAAAACAAAGATGGAGAAGTGTCGTTTAAACGGTGATTGTCACACACAGGCTTAATTATCACGTGATGAGTGTTGTAGAATAATGCGGGAGTGTGGTAGGGTATGATTTCGGTTACAATCAAGTTCTTGTCTTGGTTCAAACTTGTGACCGCATTGCTAGTGGTTCAGTACGAGGAACGCCGTACAGTAACATATTGGCGTACCATTCGAACTTTGACCATTATGTTGACACTTTTTTTTTTATTGAAAATTTCGAAGGCATCAAAATTTCATGTACGACAGTACAAAAAAGTTCAAAATTTCAAGTGGTTTTGACACCAATACTTGTGAGTGAATTTTCCTTATAGTGCGAAAATGATCTTAAAAATAAAATTTTTAATCAATTATATTATGACACGTAGTGTAATAAGCTATGTTCATAACGCATCAAAAAACTTCTTCAAAACTGTCGCGCCCAGCAAAAAAGGCACAAACACTAGTTTGTGGGCTGCCATATATACGCCAATAGGTCACCATCTTGGAGGAAGTCCTTGTCCCGCATCTTCATGACCAACGCCGCTTTCTGCCATTGCCCCGCCGCCGCCAATTCCATATTCTCTGGTTGCGTCGCCAGGTTGACTTTGACCTGATCAAGCTTCCTCCTCCTCCTCCATGACCCCCATTTTGCTAATTTTCTTTTGCTTTTTGCTTATTATCGAATCCTGGATTGGTACCGGCATTAGCACCCGTTCCACTACTAGAACTGTTGTTACTCAGTGACAATGTTGCCGTCCGGGTTCAATGGGAAATTGAGCTTTGCCCTGTTCCCGCGGAACTCGACGGCGGCCTTGTCGTAAGCCCTGGCCGCTTCCTCCGCCGTCTCGAACGTCCCGAGCCACACCCTGGCCGCCCGCCGTGGGTCGCGAATCTCAGCGGCCCATTTCCCCCACGGCCTCTGCCTCACGCCCCTGTACTTGTTCTTGCTCTTCCTCGTAGTCGCCACATTCATCCCGGCAAACCCGGTTCCTAAACTCAGCTGCGGCTTCTTGGTTCGATTCGGCAACGTTGGCGGGAAGTAGTTGCACCCGAGACACCCGGGTATCCCGCACAGGCGACACGTGTCCCCGTCTAGTAAGACGGCCAGCATGTCCTTCTCCTGTTGTGCCGGTTGGCCCGCTGCCAATTGCGTACACGTGGCATTGTAGACGGCAGTCATTGGCTGCGGGTGCTCAGGGGTAGGCCCGCTGCTGCTTCCACCGGAGATTACGTGCTTGAGGGCGGCGACCATGATGCAGTGCTCCTGCTCCTGCTGTATCCGACTCATACGGGAGGGCATTTTGGTCCAATCAGTCTTCGCTCCAGGGATAGTTTCGGAAAAATACACCGAAAATCGAGAGAAGTTTTCAGTTCCTTGCGAGAAAATGAGGAGGACAACGGGGAGAGAGAGACGGTCTTATAGGCGGATCCAAGAGAGAGGAGAGAGGGTGTCGGGATCCACGTGTCGGTCACCCGTGCACACGATTAGATATTAGTTTCGGGGAGGTCTTTCACCATTCCGATGGGGAGGTGGGTGCCCACTGGTTGTCCAGCTCGACTTTACACTGCCACGTGAGTTCGTTGGCGTGGCGCCACGAGAGGTCGACAGCGCAGCTTTTCTCCTACGAGCTTCAGCCTTGGGTTCAGTGAGAGCTTGCCACGTGGCCTGAAAGGAAACAAAATTAGTTTTTGGAGTTTTCCTCCGTCCTCCTTACCGATGATAATTCGAACTTTCGAAGGATACATTCGTCTAAAAAGAAGAGAAAAACTTCGAGGAGAAACCTTTGGCAAAAATATGAAATGAAGGCTGTCACCGTGTCACCGTGCTACTCAACCAGAGATTTTTTAGTAGAACAGTACATGGACGGTATATCATGTCTTATTATACAAATAGTATGATATATGTATTAAAAAATTAATAACTTAAAAAATAAAATTTCTTACAATTTCTATAAAAACACGTGATGTATCATTCATGTTCCGATCATAATGAAAAATTTCTCGTACTCAAGGTTCCGTTATTGCATGAATACGTAAATGCATTAGGCAAAGACCGTGCCAACGTCTGATGATCTTAATTTATTGAAAATGAAGCACTATTAGATCTCGAGTTTCTTTCTCATAGTTTCGTTGCGGTGTGCACAAATTACAAATAACGCAAAAATTATCGCCTCGACTTTGAATAATAGCTGCTTCTCAAACCCGAGAGCTAAAATACGAGGCCGCATCATGTTGTAATTAGGCTGCATGGGGGAAGGAGATTATTCTATCATTAATGAATGATGGGATAACTCACGTATAAAAAATAAAAATAAATAAAAATAAAATTGCCTCTCAAAGATGAGTTTTGAGCCATAGGCCACATAATTTACAAAGAATCTCCTTAGCGTGAAAGAACGACAATAACTATGTAGACTCATCTCGTTAAAGGGAAAGAGCGACCACAACTGGAAGGTGAGGTAGACATGAGTAGTGTTTTTTGATAATTAGAAGTGTGAAGAAGACAGGAGTTCAATCTTTATGTTATACAAACGCAAGACACTCTAAACACTTGTTTGGTACGTAATGTTTAGATTGAAATGGAAAACTCTTGAATTTTAAGGTACGTTGAAAGTGAAAGTAGATAATTTTTCATTTGGGTACACTAAAGAGAGATGCTTTCTTTTTGCTTTCCTTGTTTTAGTACTACTAAGTGAACGCATCAATACACTTCCTTATCATTGAATCCAATTCCCATGACAAGACTAAATCCAGGTACTTTTCTCAGATGTCTTTCTTCCATCTCAGACCTCACTCTTTCAGCATCTCCCCACCTCCCAGCTGCTGCATACACATTGTAAAGCATCACATGCGATCTCGAGTTTTCCGGGTCCGATTCCGAAAGCATCCTACCAATTCTTTCGCCAAGTTCAACGTCCTCATGGATTCTACAGGCCCCCAACAAAGATTCAAGCATACTTGTTGAAGGTTTAAAGGGCAGTGCCCTAACAATGCCATAAGCCTCAGTCAGGTTACCTGTTCTTCCGAAAAGATCCACCATGCAGGCATAATGCTCGATTTCGGGTGATATCCCACGTTCCGCCATAGAGTTGAATACCAACCGGCCTTGCTCGACCAAGCCGCAATGGCTGCAGGCTGATAGAATACTTGAATATGTAATCCCATTAGGTTTTACTCCTGAAAGCTTCATCTGCAAGAAAAGATCTAGGGCACCTTCACCGTCCCCGTGCAGACCGTATCCATTAATCATCACATTCCACGACACGGAATCCTTTTCAACCAGCCCTTCAAACAGCTTCCTTGCACTCAATATGTTTCCGCATCTTGCAAGCATATTGATTAGGGCATTGCTGATAACCAGATCTTTGTCAAAGCCTTTTCGTATTATGTACGCCGTTACAGAATCTGCAAGATTGAGGCTATTGAGTTGAACACAAGCAGAAACTAAACTCAGAACTGTCACATTGTCGGGTTCCAATCCCATCCGAAGCAATCCACGGAAAAATGAAACTGCAATTTCACTATTTTTAGTTTGTATCTGCACAGACAAAAACGCATTCCACAGCGAAATATCCTTCATGTTTCCCGTTTGGAACTGTAACAGGCAAGAGTTAATGTTCTCAAATCTAGCATACATGAACATAAGTGATGTATGGAGAGGGGTTTCTTCTACAATTCCGGTTCTGAAGGTGACAGCATGGATAGACTTACCCTGTAATTGTGTGCGGCATGCTGGCAATAAATTTAGCAAAGTTACGTAATTTGGTCTCTCATCATCCTTTATCATTTCACCAAACAAGACCCAAACCTCATTCTGTAAATTGTGGTTTCGGAAGCCAGTCATCAGAGCATTCCAAGACACCACACTCCTTGTTGGCATGACTTTGAAAAGTAACGTCCCGGCATCAAGGTCTCCACAGTTGCAATACATGCTAATAAGTGAATTTCCCATAGAAATGTCAGAAGAGAACCCTTTTTTTATAGCGTAACCATGAATAGCCATTCCTTGCCCTAAGCTTTCCTTCTCACCGAGACTAGGGAGTATGCTTATCAGGGTGACTAGGTCCAACTGGAAGCCCTCTTTCTGCATCTGGTGGTAAAAGGCAACCGCCTTTTCCATCTTGCAGTGGTGCACACAACCGGATATTAACGTGTTCCATGTTATGGAATTTTTTGTAGGCATTTCACGCAGCAAAGTAATTGAATAGGAGAGGCGATGACAATCAGAGTAAAATGCCAACAGGGCATTTGACAGATTGAGATTTGAGAGGAAACCCTTCCTAATACTAAATGCATGCACAGACTTCCCCACTAAATCCGCCTCAAGTTTGGAGCAAGCAGAAAGAACACTAACGATGGAGACTGCATCTGGAACAAACCCTGAAAATTGCATTTCACGAAATACACCGAGACTTAAATTCCATAGCCCGTTGTACACGTACCCAGAAATCATTGAGTTCCACAAAAGAAGGTTTTTACTGGGCATTGGCTCGAAAAGATACTGGGATGAATCAGTGTCTCCAAGCTTGGCATACATTGATACAAGGGCTGTTAGGATTGGCAGTTGATTTTCTGATCCATGTTTAATAACACAAGCATGAAGGGACTCGCCGAAAGAAAGGCTACTGGAATTCTCACATGAGGGAATAACGGACACGAAAGTGACGAAATTAGGCTGCAAGTCAACCCGAAGCATACAACGGAACATCTCAAAAGCTGAGATGGCCTTCTGCATTTGTGTGTATGCAGAAATCATAGCATTCCAAACAACAGCATTCTTTTCCGGTACAGAATCAAACAAGTTTCTAGCACCACACAAATCCTCATCCCCGGCATACATTGAAATCAAAGCAGGAACCAAAAAATTATTCGACAGGTAACCAGATTTGAGAGCAAAGCAATGTAGGGACTTACCGGTATGCATACACCCCAAGCGAGTGCAAACAGGAATAACAGTGGCCAGAGTGCTCAAATTCGGCTTCAAATTCATAACGAGAATCTCCCCGAAAACATCAAACGCTTCCCAATTCAATCCGTTCGACGAATAACCAGCAATGAGTGCATTCCAAGCAACCAAATCTGGTTGAGGAATTCTATCAATCACTTGACGTGCCATCCCCATACAACCGGTTTTCGCATAGAAATCAACCAATGCAGTCTGTATAACAAGGTTTTGCTCGAACCCAGTTCTTATCACGACTCCATGAACCTCTTTCCCAGTCCTAATCACAGCCAGCGCCGCGCACGCCTTGATGACGAATGGAAACGTAAAGTCATCAGAAGGGCAACCGGAAGCCCCGGAATGGAGGTAGACATACAAGAGCTCATGGTATAAGCCGTGATTGCTAAGGTACCGGATTACGAGGTTCTGCAGGCCAAGACTTGGCCTTTGGATTTGCTGGAATAGAGAGAGAGCTAAATGTGAAGAACCCAGATGAAAACAGGACCTGACGAATTGCTCCACCAGAAAAACATCCTTAACAAGTCCTTGTACGATGAGAAGGGAGGTGAGAGGCCTCAAGCCCTCGCAGGTTTTGCAGAGGTTTAGCAGACGGAGGAAGTGGGGTGTTCTCGAATTGATTGAAGAATGTTTGTGTCTGACAAGAGAGAGAATCAACGGGGAAGAAGACAGGGTATTGGAGTGCCGGAGGAAGGAACTCATTACTCCATTAAAGTTCTGAGATTGGAGCCAAAGCTAGCCGTTGAGGTTTCTATTTGATCATCTGGGTTACCCTCCTTTAATATATTGAGAAAAGTATTCGGACTCGGATGCAAGAAGACATGTACATGAGGTGCCTTCTCTCGCTCAATTGGCTCAACCCACATATGCAAAGGCACGTCTTTGTTTGAACCGACTAAAGTTTTTGTTCTGATCACAGAAACGAGATATAACATGAGCCCCAGAACAATTCGACAATTTTCAAATGGAAAGGGTCTCCGAACATTTTATAATGTAAAGGTTAGGAAACTGTTATTCACGCTTCAAAAATGTCATGCAACACTATTCTCTTCCTCGTTAAATTTGAGACTCGAGGTTAGCGCAAGTGGCGAGTAAGAAAGGGGAAATGAGTTACGATTACGGTGAGGTCAAAATTTCGATCCCTTCCATCGTAACCAAAATAATAGTAGTAATACCATCAATCATCATTGCATTTTTCGTGAACAAATATTTAAAATTTTACCGACGTACCACCACCACGCTACAACACTAGGCATAGTTATATCCAAGATTTCTACAAAACAATGTCAAAGTGAAACGAAGGCTTTTGTTTAAAGTTATAAATACATCACACAGTAATTCTGCACGGGATCAGGATCTCGATATCACGCACAAGGCTAAAACCTTTCGGGTTCTAATACCCGTATGCTGTTCTCTTCATCATCCTGATAAACTCATCAGCATTAACTTCTCCATCACCTGTACATTTCAAGTCATAAGCTCTGGAATTAGCAAAATTATGCTCAATGATTTCAAAGCACGTAGAAGTAAAAGTTGAGGGTATCAAAGGAAGGACGGAAGGATTATATATTTAAGCACGTACGATCTCGGTCTGCTTCCTCAATCATCTCTTGGATCTCGCTGTCAGTGAAGTTCTCACCCAGATCCTTTGCAATGCTCTTAATGTCTGCTGCAGATATCTTTCCCTGAATTCAAATGCGGAAAGAATGGAATTAGGTATTGACAGATTGAAACAAAACAAGTATTTGAAGTTGAACCACTCCAAACTGAAACAAATTTAACGTTTAATAAGCAAAACAATACATTGCGATCTAGGTCAATGAGCTGGAATGCTTTCATGAGCTCCTCCTTTGTGTCCCGTTCTCCAATTTTGGCGGTCATCATGTGAGCAAACTCATCAAAGTCGATAG